CCCCAAAACCCCAAAACCCCAAAACCCCAAAACCCCAAAACCCCAAAACCCCGTAGGGTTTTAAATTTTCAGCTTTAAATCCTGGAATATTGGAAGCCATAAGAAGTTATTTTAAAATTTTAATCTTTTTTTGACCAGGATCTTCGGATAATTTGAGATCTTTTTCCTTTCTTTTACCCTTCTTTTTTGTTTCCAGAAGTGGCTTGTATTGAGGAAGTTCAGCTGCAAAAAGAACTGAATGAGCCCAACCACAGTAAGTTCCAAATTTTTGATAGAATAAATCAACAACTTTAGGATAGTTCTTTGCATTAGATTCGCTCATCCCGTACACTCTTTTAGCAATCTGAGCTACATGAGTGTCCACAGGTACTGAATTAAGACAATTCAGAGAGAATAATGATATACAGTCAGCAACTTTATTTCCAACTCCTTTAAGTTCTACAAGTTGGGCCCTAATGCTTTCTAAATTTTCTAGTGTAAGCTGACTTTTTTTAGGTGTTTCGTCTTGGGTTTTACGATTCAGTTCCTCTTCATCATCATTCTCTTCTTCTTTGCTATTTTCTTTCTTTTTAGAATTAAGATCTAGCCTAAGATTTCTAATCCAATCCTCGCCGCCTTTCTTCTGGATAATTTTACATGAAGCTTCCATGTACTTTGCTCTGTATCCAAGTCCTAGAGCTCTGAAATCTGCTTCTTTTGCTTTGGAAAGTTGATCAAGAGTTGGAAAGGTATAGAATTCAGAAACAGTAAAGTCTTCAAACTCTTCATCTTCATCGAGAACTGTGTCAAGGTCTCCTATTCTCTCTCCATAGGAGCTTCTGATTTTAAGCATGAGTCCTGTAATTCTTTTGATGTTATTATTCTGGCTGACAAGGAAAGACATTGTTCATTCCCAAGGATCTTGCCTGAGGATCCTTAAACCAGGAATTCATGGACCTATTGAAGCGAAATGTTTGTCATTTGACCATGTTGTATACAAATCCTCTAAATTTACTTCATTCATTTGGAAATAATCTAGAAGGAGAGAGTGGACTTGATCATCTTCATCACCTTCATCTTTATATTTCTAGAAGTTATATTTTGGATTACTTTATGAGTATGGTATCTGAATTGTATATCACAGTCTTTCATGTCTTGTTGTATCCTGATGAGGTATTGACCAAGGACCCCCACATAGTCATGTTCTCTAAGTGCATACCAGTTAAAGCATTGTCCATTCACAAGAGTATTGCTCAGAACTAGCTGTCTTCCCTTGATATTTGGAACTCCAAGGGATAATTTAATCCAATTTGACATTTTCATTATTTTTGCGGATTTCACGATTTAATTATTCTTTCAATAATAACAATATCAGAAGGGGTTTTGGGGTTTTGGGGTTTTGGGGTTTTGGGGTTTTGGGGTTTTGGGG